ATTTATATCAGCGATACTGCTAGAGTGCAACGATTTGCCGGGCGAGAGATCATGAAAAATTTCTTCGACTGCCGTCGTCTCGTCGCCGTTGTCCTCATTCTCCCCCTCGTTGCGTGTCTCAACGCGTTTTTGTCTTCGCGCTGCTTGAAAAAAGTGCAGATATCGCCAAAGTACTTCTCTATACAATTTCCATCTTTCTTCTTCGTTGCGCGGTAAGGGGGCATTAAGAATACGGCACATCTCCGCATCGAGTCTCGTGAGAGCGCTTCCCGGTGTTCGCACACTCATATTCTCCTCGCTTTCATCGGTGTTGTTCGAATTTGCGACGTTTTCTTTTGCATCCGCGTTAATTGTTGTTGGTTGTTTCTGCCGCATTCTTTCGAGATTTTCCGTGAAAATTAAAACCATCTTTTTAGCCCTTTCCATAATCTTGGCTGTTTATTTTTCGATAATTCGCGATAATAAAAACGATAATACAGGACTTATGATGTAAGATAAAAATCCACCCCGCTGTACTAAAAGTTTTCTTTTCTCCTTCCAGTTGCCACCGCGTTTTGCTACGATACGTCGTAGCGTCGTTTTGTATTTGCTTAATCGATTCTTTTCACGTCGATTGAGCACGTTACCGTTGAGTGTATTAAAAACGCATTCGCAAATACTGTCGACGAATTTTTTGTCCGCGGTTCGAAGAAAGGCCACACGTTGATTTTTATTGAGATGACACACTGCCTCGAGAAGACAGGCGTTTCTTCTTCCGATTGAATGTCTAGCGATTTTCGTCGCTCTGTTTGATTTTTTGCTCTCCTCCGCCGCTGCCGTCTTCTTCATTGCGAGAAAGTTGATATACGACTGATTCGTGCGAGCGCAGATACGCAGTTTTTATGTGTAACCGGTGGAAAACGATTTACGCAGAACGTAGACGTAATGCGTTGTATCGTCGGGAAAGATACACGTTCGAAATCGATATTCGTCGAGGGTCGATTGTTTTAGATCGAGAAGCAAATA